GATTACAGGCCTGCGCCATCATGCCTGGTCTCTGTTGCTGGCTCAGCAGCCCTAGGGGCAGGGCTGGCAGGACACGTGGCACTGGGGATCAAACCCTGGTCCCTGTGCTTGCCTAAGCAGGTGCTTAGTAAACCCACTTATTTGTATGTTGTATCCAATATCATGTTCATTTGTTGAAGACAAAAACAAATAAAAAAGCAGTCTTCAGACAGCAAGAAAGACTTTGCTTCTACCTTACAGAGTACAGGAATCTGTATGGAAGGCTCGCCACGTAAGTGTTCGTTGCAACCACAGGCTCTTGAAGTGTCCTTCCCATGATGAACTACCTGGAGGAAACTGTGAACTTTCTAATGGCATCTTAATGCCTTGTCAAACACCTAGTCATGAGAAGTGATTCTCATGCAATAATGTCATAGTTAAAAAGAATTAAGAGAATTCTACTTATTGATAACGTAGGCTTTCCTGGAGGAAACATGCCGTGGCACTGGCAACCATAATCTGGTGTGACTGACTGTGTCATCAGTCATCCTCTGCAGATATAATTTCCTAACTCCTCCATATCTGTCTCCATTCCTCATATGAACTTCTACCTCAACTACAGCAATGTAAAAATGGGAAACATGATGTTAAAAACGGCAAAATAAGTAGAAATTCTTTTATGGACTCACCTACCCTTAATATTCCTTGTCTGGGGAATTTACAGGTTGACACATGTATCTTACATACCATACCAAAACCTTGAGTTGAATATGCTTTAACCTTCTACTGATGACAATGATTGTTATCTTATTCCCAACATTTTATTGTCACTTCACAATAAAGCTAAAGAATAACTCACTGTGCACTATGCACAAAATCTATGTACCTGTGTGCACGCTATGTGTAACTAGCTATGCATGTGGGTTGGGGGACATAACTGTAGTCAAGATGCGAACTTAAAACAAATTGCAAAATATATGCAGTATCAATGGTCATTAAATAATATAGCAATAGCAGGCTGTGATAATAATCACACGTGTGATGACACAGGTGATTACAAACCACTATTAGAGAACAGAGCGGGGAATTAATTCTTACTTAGCTGTGGGGATCCAGAAAGGCTTGGGAGATGAGTGCGAGGTGAGGTTTGGGGATTGGTTGGCCTGGGCCATGTGGATGAAGACCAAAAGGGGTGAGTGGCTCCTTGGTGTGGCTGAGGCAGAGTGCGTTTTCATACAGAGGAGGTGACTTCCGGCCAGTGCAGTTTCCTCTTTCCTGACTGTCACACATTTTCAGCTTTGAGGGAATGTGCAAGAAAATCTATCGGACCAAGTGTTTTGGTTGTTTCAGTGTGTTCACAGCATTGCTTGTATGGACTGTCAAATGAGAGGTGAGTTCATAAAAGGATATTAATGTATCACTTTTACTGAGCAAAGTATTATTACAGAAAAGGTGGTTTCAAAGGCACATGGCTCTTTCATTACTGCCTTCAGGGGCAATGTTTGATCACTGAAAACAGCCTGCTTTGTTCCAGTTCTCTCTGATGTTTGGCATTATCCAGAATGCATATGCTCTGACTTGGAAAGCATCAGTAGGTGAAGATTGAATAGATGTGAGATCCACATATTCAAAATGTGTATCTGGTGATTAAAGTAAAATGAATGCCATTTTAACTTGTATGTCTATATATACACAAACATATTGCAGACGTTTCTCAGCAAAATTTTAAAAGGCACCAGAGATTATGAAAACTGGCTACTTTAAAAATTCCGCGTTTTATGTAAGAACTGGAGGTGAATATTTTTGAAGAGACATTACGTTGGTGATAGCAAAGTATTCAGTTTCAGAGACGTGAGATCAGCCATATGTCCATGCCACCTATCACAGACACAACTTTTGAGTTGTGGACATGGCCGAACATTCTGTCCATTACAAATGAACTAGTGTCTTTTGAGGTAAGAAAAACTGGAAGTCGAAAAACAGAAAAGAAAAATGTTGAATGTTAGCATTTGGGTGAGATATTTTTTCTTATATGACTGGAAAAAAATGAATTTCTCTTTTTTTTCAAAAGGAAAGAAATGCTGAGAACAAGACTTAAAGAGTCAAAAGCTTTTTGTGTGGGAACAAAACTCACGGAATTCTCTCTCCATTGAATTCTCCTCATCCCTATGAATTGATACGTAATCTCACACAAATTTATCATTTCACTTTGGATTCTCTTTGAATCTTTGAAAGAAAGAACATTCCGAGACAGTTGGATTTATACTGCATCTGCAATTAGATACTCACTGTGTTGCAATTAAACCTAGAGGCTGTGCCTGAAGTTGGTTAGAATAACTGATGTTCTACTTAATGTGACAACAAAAACTCTCGTCATGCAACTTCTCTACTTGAAATCCTTTCCTCCCCAGTACTTGCTTACAGCATCCTCTTGTTTTTTTGAGGCTTTCTCTTACTGCAAAGCCCTCTGCTCCTTGGTTAGCTTTGCAGTACTCTCAAAACAGACTACAGAGGTTATGTATTTGTTGCCAGACCAATGCTTTCCAAACCTTAATGTACTTACAAATCATCTAGGGATCTTGTTAAAATGGAGGTTCTGATTCATCACATCTGGATCTGGCCAAGTCTCTAACAAGCTCCCAGCTGACACAGCGAGCCACATTTTGAACAGTGAATCTAGAGTACAAATGGCCTCTAAACTGGTACTTACTTCAGGACCCTGATAACTGAAATTGTATGTGCTCTGACTTTGAGGTTGCTTCAGAATTCAAATGAATTTTATATTTTGGTAATTTCACAAAGGCTGCATGATCGAGCCTTCTAGGTACTTCCTTTGTCTCTTTTTTTCTTATCAACTTATCTTCTTTCTTAACAGCTTAGACTTAAAACTACTTGAAGCTTCTAGAATGTATAAGATGCCTGCTCATCTCAGTGTCTTCAAATACTACTATCTTGCTTGTCTTGGGACCCTGTGACATTTCCTTTGAAAACTAGCTTTGCTCTCCTCGCCTTCAGGAATCAGGCTCCAATCTCTTTCCCCTATAATTCCTTCCTTACGTGTCTCTGGTATCCTCCCACAATATTCTCCATATTTTCTGTATTACAGCTTTGTCACAGTCTGCTGCAGTTGTCTACCTATTCTGTCCATTCTTCTGGGCTGGGGACACTGTCTTACTTTTCGTCTCTCGTACTTACCATTTATTGCAATGTCTGACACACAGGCTTTTATTGAAGGTTGCTGACTGAAAGAAGAAGGATGCGTGTGCTAAATCCATGGAGTAGTCATCAAGCTAAAATCTAATGCAAGGTCTTTTTTTCTTGAAACTGAAAGGGCGCCAATAAAACTAAATTCATAAAAGTTAGACACAGAGTGAGGTAATGCTGAAGATGTGAAACATTAGTATGTGGTTAATCGACAAATGAAGAGCATAGCACATAGCTATTCCGAGATAACTGGAGAAAAATGTCACCATGGACTTTTATTATTTTAATACTTCAATTAGCTTCACAAAGAACTTGAGACTGATGATAATGCTATAAATTGAAGTTAATAAAAGGATGCGAGTGGAAGTAATTAAAAGAACAGTGCGAGGAAATGGAGGACTGCAGGAGCACTGTATATACAGAAATCTGGAGGGTCAGAGAGAAGAGACTACCTCTTCTGCAGAAATACTGTGTTCTATAATGGAAGATAGTGTCAGGGTGCTTGGTTTTCAGTTTCCTCCTTCCTGATTTCTCCTCTCTGACTTCTATGAGGTAAGTAGAAGCTCTGTGTCCTCCAGCTTCTGGTGGGTCTTGGCTAATAGGGCATTCTGGAAGGAGCATGGGTCAGGACAGATATCTTGTGGGTTGCCTAGGGCTGGCTACGCTTTCATGTTAGGTGTCCCTGTGTAAGATGTCCCTGTGTTATGCCACTTCCAATTATTTTAATGGGGGGTGTGTTCCATGACCTGTTAGACTGCCTTGCAATTGTTCAAATCTACACCGGATGCCAGACGAAATAATGTTTTTAACTATAATGAATTATTAATGCCAAACATACTTTCAGCTTCTTACTATATGTATAACAGGTAAGAGTTGATGAGAATGTTCAATTTAGAAAAGTTTGGAAAACAACCAATCTAAAGTCTTGCCCCTGCACATTTTACATTTATTGTGGTAAGGTGACCATAAACCATCTTGGAGGTAAAGAAATATCAGTATTATATTTTAAGTCTATGCATGGATCCATAATGTTTATCCACATCAGACTGATTTTATTGCTCAATTGTAGTGCAGTAATATGAATGGGACACAATTTGGGGTCGTTGCCTTTTTAGTAGAGATAGATTGTCCAGAACCAGTGCCGGTCTTCTTTTCTGTTATTTCAGTTTTCATTTCTTTGCTATCCATTGTCATTGGTGGGGGTATAAATGCATACAAAGCTCAATGTTAACATAAAGTTTTTATTTTTCTAAGCTGTTCAGCCTTAAAGTTATTGAGAGTCATTTTCAGTTCATTAAATCCAACAGGTAAAACTGCACAAAAGTCATATTTGTGAAAATTTTTACAATCTAATAAATAAATGTGCTGCTCTTAATGTAAAACCCCAATGTGTTCATCTCCGTCTTCAGATCTGAGATTGTGTTACAAGCTTCTCATAGTATTTAGTGAGGTCATTGTCTGCTTCTTTGAACCTGCTTCTGTGACCCAGTAAAAATAGATCAGAAATCCCAGCAGTGGAAGGCATATTTATAGTTGTACATTGGATAGATGAGCTTGAGGTGCTAAAGGAACTGCAAATTCAACGTATAATGATACAAAAGTGAAATTGTTTTTACTTTGTCCAGTGGGTGAAATGAAAATCCAATATGGTACCTGGAACATTGTACACATTTTGCCAATTTTAATTAAATTCATCTCTGGCAGGTAGCAAAGAGAGGAACAGAAAAAACCACATCATGCAGGGTTTTGCTCCCACTTTGCTCTGAGGAACTCAATGATGTTTGAATTTTTTTTTAACTTTTCTCTTTCCTTTTCAGGTTCTATTTATGAAATGTCTGGAAATGAATGCTGTTTTGCAACAGGAGAAGTGATTAAAATCACTGGTCTCAAAATTAAGAAAATCATCGCTGAAATTTGTGACAATATTGGAAGTAGTGAGTCTCCACGACCATTTGAATTGCCCATGGATTTTCCAGGTATAGTGAACTGCAGCCATTTTGCATTTGAAAAAGTGTGTTGTTGATAATTTTATTGAATCAAATGAAAACAATGAGTAAATGGGCTGGCCATATAGCTCAGTGGACCAAAGCACCTACTTAGTCAGAGCACAAAGCCTAGGTTAGATCCCCAGTGTACCTTGCCAGCCCCATCTCCAGGGTGCGCTGAGACTGAGATTGAGACTGGGCATGGTAGAGTGCACCTATAATCCCAGAGATTGGGAAGTTGAAAACAGGAGACTCTCTATGAGTCCGATCCGTGTAATGGGACCCTGCAGGCCCTGTAGTAAATACAAAAAAAAAAAAGAGAGAGAGAGAGATAGAAAGGAGAAAGAAAGAAGAAAGAAAGAAGAAAGAAAGAAAGAAAGAAAGAAAGAAAGAAAGAAAGAAAGAAGAAAGAAAGAAAGAAGAAAACAATGAGCAAGGGAATGCTGTGTTATCTATTCTAGTTCAATGAGTTAAAATAAATCAGAATTCTTGTAGTCTGATTAATTTAAGGAGTCAAAGAAGACAAATATTGCATGCATTTTAATTATACATTCTTTACATAAGAATTAGTCACTTTGGTTAATATATTTAGCAACTTTTTAAAGTTAAAATTTTAACTGGCATTTAAAAACATAAAAATTTCACATATTTGTATGGCAAAATGATAATTTGTTATGTTTACACATTGCATAATCTTTAAACCATATTAAACTAATCTATCTTCTCAAATATTTGTCATTGTTTTTTGGTAAAAACCAATTTTAAACATTTGTTCTTCTAGCTTTTCAAAGTGTAGAGTGTCTGACTGCTGTCTTTGGTAACCTGCTGCACAACCACACAAAAGTTATATGTTCATTATTTGTGTGTTCATGTGATACAATGTGATGAAAGAAACAGGCAAGGACAAAAGGCAGCTAAGAATTGCTTTCTAGGAAACGTGTGGGCAACTCTTTGACCTCTTCTAGATGTTTTCTTTTTTGTTCTCACTGTATGTTGAACACCGCAGCATGTAAATCATTGAGTAGTCATTGGCTATTTATTTTTCTTATTCTCTAAATGAAAGTTGACAATTTTTTCTATAAAGGTCCATAATAGTAAATATTTAAAGATTTGTAGCCAGATTTTCTTTCTCAAATATTCCATTCTGGTGGGGCAACCTGAAAGTACCTGTAGATCATTCAGAAAACCACAGTTACGTCTCAATAAAACTTTATTTATAAAAGCAGGTGACCACCTGGAGGTATCCTGTTGACTTTAATTTACTGGCCTCTACTCTAAACTAAAAATCACACATATGATCCCATATTTTAAGGAACATGCCATATTTTCTGGTACAAGAAACATGCCCAGTATTTGATCATTGGATAAATAAATAAGTAGTAAAATGAAAAATTTACAATATATTGTGTGACACGATGTGCCTGAAGTTGGATGTGCCCGGGTCTGATGAGGGTTTGTAAAAAACAGCAAGCTGAAGTTGGTTGCCTTCCAGAGTGTGGCTTCTCAAGTTACATCTCAGTCCAATTCTGCCGCTTCTTAGTGTTGCAGCCTTGGCAACCATGTTGATTTATGCTCTTCTCATGTGAAATGGAAATACTACTACTGTCTATCTCCTAGTGGTGTTTGGAAGACTAGTTCTAAAAAGTATTCAAATTGCTTAGAATGATAGCTAGCCTCCTGCCAGGGCTATTCAAAAGTGTCAGCTTTATTACCATTATCAAGATTATTATTGCTATCATTCAAGCAGGCAGGAAATGCTGTCCAGAGAATGTTATAATAAGGTGAATTTTGAGAATGAAAATAAATGAGCTACTTTGAGGATAACACATTTCCAAGTGCTTTAATAACATATCCCTTTCAATTGATACCTTACCCATTCTTTAATTCTAACTATTGCTTCTCCTTCTCCTTCTCCTTCTCCTTCTCCTTCTCCTTCTCCTTCTCCTTCTCCTTCTCCTTCTCCTTCTCCTTCTCCTTCTCCTT